ACCCATTGGACTAGGATCTTTAGGAGCAGGAACAAATCCTCAGCTTCAGTCTCTAGTAGTGGGCAGAGGGCCTGGTGCTTTGTGGCGCCTCAATGTTTAATGAGTGAATGCTGAACCAACTATTTTCTTATTCTATTGTTTGGCTTTTTGATAATAAAAATCACCTGAGATTGCTGGGCTACAATGCCTTTTCCAGGCTGGACCATAACATTTGTTGATTCCGAACTGAGGTGGGTCCAGTTAGCTCCCTGTTTATTAAGTAGCTGCTGGTTTGGTGTAAATGGTCTAGCAGCTGCTTTTCTATGATTAGTTTACTGGTTCTTGATTCAGATGTCTCTCGCAATCACCTATTGATCTGAATGAAAACACAGGGCTTCTCTGCATACCCACTGCACTGATCCCTCACCACCATGTTGACTCCCTATCAGGGTGACATGTTAAACCCCAAGGCTCACTTCCAGTTAAATTTGGGAAAACACAGAAGATCCTATTCCTCTCTGTTTACGCTCTTAGGAGAAGGATGTTTCCACTCATTACAGAAATATCATGATGTAAATCTGGAATACTGGAACTTACCCTGGACAGGTCAAATTTGGTCTAAGTATCAAGGCAGAGGAAAAAGCTCTTACATACAAGGTCCTGCAGGTCAATGACCGCAGAACTGACATCTTGCCCTGGCTTACCTGTGTAGGCAGAGTCCTCTGCCACTCAGTCTAGGGAAGGCCGATTTGGATGGCAGGGCACTAAATGGTCTCTTGGTACTGAAGTTCTATATCAGTAAACTTAATTGCTGACGTTTACTCAATTTTTAAAATCCCACAAGTCATCTTTGCCTATGTACAGTTTTTAAAGTTGTGCATTTACAACTTAAGATCTGGAGGCATGGCTCAGCAGTTAAGGGTGCTTACTACTCTTGCAGAGGACCCAAGTTCAATTCCCAGCACCCATGTCGGGCAACTCACAACTACCTGTCTATAATTCCTGCTCCAGGGGGATCTGATGCTTCTGATCTCCACAGGGGCCTCACTCATGTTCATATATCCTCACACAGACACACACATACATCTAATAAAAATAACAAAAAACAAATTTGAAAAAAAGCGATGACCTTAAGCAGCTTCACAGGAGAACTTTGAGGATGCTTGCGCCAACCAACTGCTGTCATCTTCATCATTATAGTTTCTAAATCCTCAGTCAAAAGCACCAAAACAAAAAAAAACAAAACAAAAGTTGGAAAAAAGGGCACATCAGTGTCTTTTTTGTTTTGTTTTGTGCACAACAAAGGATGTAATGCAGCTCTGTAACAATCCACCTAGAAATGTTTGTGGCAGACGATGGAGCGGCTGGATTCATCAGACTCCTGCATGCTGATCCACATTAATTGCATTCTCTTGATACGATTATTGAGAGTATTTCTGGCCCTCTGGTGTATTTACACACACACACACACGCATGCATGTACATGCATGCACGCACACACGTTCCCCCCTGCACGAAGACCCTGGCTTATGACAGTTCAACTTCTGGATTGTTTTTACTTTACAGCGGTATAAAAATAATATGCGTTCAGTAAAGACTATACTTGTGTTTGAATTTTGAGCTTTCTCCAGGCTAGCAGTGTACATTAGGTTGCTCTCCCAATGCCAGGCAGCAGGAGCAGGTCACCACTTCCACTCAGCCATGTGATCACAAAGGGAAAATATTAGAGCTCTACAGTATGCTATGTTGCTAGGCAGTGCTGTTCAGTGTCTTTAGGATATTAAATGCTTGGCTTCGGTGCCCTGAGCACACTAGGCAAGTGCTCTTCCACCAAGCTACATTGCTAGCCCTTCTTATTTGTTAAAACTTTTAGACAACTGGTCTTGAAATCCTACTACCCAACTTTACGAGTAGCCGGGATTATAGATAAGTGCACTGTGCCAAGCTTGAATATATCTATTCATTTATTTTTTTTATGTATATAAGTGTTTTGCATGCATGTATATAAGTATACCTGTGTATGTAATGCCCATGGAGGCCAGGAGAGGGTGTTAGATCCCCTGGCACTGGAATTACAGATGGTTGTTAGCCACCACTCAAACCCAGTTTCTTTGCAAGAGCAGCCAGTGCTATTAACCACTGAGCAGTCTCTCCAGCCCATTGAATTTATATTTCTGTTTTCATGAATTTAATGGGGCATATTCCCTAAAATGAAAGCATTAGATGAAGAGTAATGGCAGTTTGATAGCTCTCATTGCTTATTAGAGCATTACTTTCCAGAGACAATGACCCGACATACAAGTCTCTGGGGGTGTGGGGGCATGCTAGATTTTCCCACAGCTTGAACACCATGGAATTTTACCACTGTGGCCTGTTTTTACTAGTTTAATATAGGCATAGGCCTCAGTAGGAAAGTTTATTTTCAAGTTTTTTAAGTAATATAAAGTAGTTCATTTCCTTGTGGGAGACTTATTTTCATTTTAAATGGAAACATTACCTCCATGTTTGACAGTTGTGGAGGGATAGATTCAACTGCCTTTTGTATGATGGACTTTGTAGGGACCAAAAATAGCATTCATGTTAGCTCTCAGATCAGGCCTGAAGTACCAAGAGGTTCAGTTGTGTGGCTCTGAACTATAAAACTTATGTGGCAGATGAGAGCAGAAATGTGGTTTGGTTCTATGTAAGATCTGAAGAGGCCGGGTGTAGTGGTGTACACCTGTTATCCCAGCCCTCTGAAGGCTGAGGCAAGAGGATCGCCAGTGTGAGGATAGCCTAGAATGCACAGCAAGACCCTGGCTCAAAAAACAAAAGAAAACAAGAAGGTAGGAGCATTCTGATTTCATGGTGAAAACAAATGTCGAGGCTCCCACCTGCATCAGTAGGTTTTGCTTTAGAATGAAAGTAAGAACCTGCCCCTCATGCCTCTCATGGTGGCACTTCCTGCTCTGGACGTTGTCTGGCATTCCCACTTCAAAAGGACCAGCATGTCTGTGACAGGAAGGGCATCAGGAGAGCCACGAAACTGCAGCATATTTTCAGAGGTCCTGGAGGAACAACTGGAGGCAGAAATTTCTGGAAAAGTTCCTATTGTGTGAAAGATCAGCTTGAAGGTCAGAAAACGTCGGGTAGGGCCTTTGCATATCTGTCTTGGCTCTCCTGTGACTTATAATCGGCTTTTAAATCGATGGTCACAATATTGATTTGGGTTTCTGTCATGCAGAGCACAAGATATACTATTATTTATGCAAGATAGTTTGGGTGGGGGACAGTCTAATCTGATTTTTTTTATTGGAGATTTGCATGCATAACTACTCTTATATACATGCAGGCAAAATACTATATACATAAAAATAAAAATAAATTAATTTTTTAAAAATTGGCGATGTTCCACCTAATGAGTAAATCAGCAAAACCTGAACTTTTCCCTCTGTTTTTAGTTGTCACACTAAACTTGGTAATTTTTTGCATTCACTTGTTTCTGTCCTTATACGCACATACAACTTAAGTCTTGTCTGCCTAGTTTATATATAGCTTGTATACCTCACAACTCACCCATTCAATGTGTACAGTTCAGTGATTTTTAATATAGTCAGAATTATTGATCCATCACTACAATTTTAGAACATTTCTATCACTCCAAAAAGAAGCCCTATACCCACAGTCACTTCCATTTCTCTACAATCCCTTCGATCCTGTTCAACCACTAATCTACTTTCTGGTCTATAGATTTTATTATTCTCGGAATTTCATGTGAGGAAAAATAAACTTGTGGCCTTTTGATTTGGCTTCTTTCCCTTAGGATGATGGGGTTGGGATTTGCTCCTGTAATGGTATGTCATGATACTCCATTCCTTTTATTGCTGGGTAATATTCCATTTTAGGATACACCACTTTTTGTTCATCAGTTGATGGGCACTAGTGTTGTTTCCCCTTTTGTCTCATGAAAAATGCTATTGTGAGTGTTCATGTCTAAGTTTTATGTGGAAGTTTGTTTTCAGTTCTCTTGGATATATACTTATGAATATATAGGAACTTTATGTTTAACTTTTTGAGGAACTGCCAAATTATTTCCTAAGTGAATGGTACCATTTGGCATTCCCACCAACAATGTGTTTGTGCTTGTTTTTCTATAACCTGACAATACTTGTGATTGAATGCCCGTGGTTTTATTCTGGTCATCCTAATGGCTGTGAAGGGACATACCATTATGGTCTGCCTGATGGCTCACAGAATACAATAGAATATTCCCGACACTAGTGTTTTCCTTTACTCTCTAAAAAGTAAGTAAAGAATGGGGGCTGGAACTCAGCAGTTAAAAGCACTGGCTGCTCTTGCAGAGGACCCAGGCATGGTGGCTCACAACTAACTATAACTCTAGTTCCAGGGGATCAACACCCTCTCTTTGACCTCTGTGAGCTCCTGCATGGAAGTGGTATACGTACATTCACTCAGGCACATACACACATACACATACATATAGAAATAATAAATAAAATGTTTGAAAAACATTTTATTTTTAATTTTTTGTGTATTAGTGTATTGCCTGCATGTATGTAAGTATACCCATGACATGAAATGTCCTCAAAGGTCAGAAGAGAGCATTGGATACCCCTGGAACTGGTGTTAGGGATGGTTGTTAGCAGTGAGAATGGCAGGATAAAAATGGCAGCTAGGACGTAGTCAGAACCAGACATCCTTGTGTGGAGACAGCTTCTCTGGGAGGCCTGGAGTTAGATGCCCTGGATGTTTATATTGCAGCCTAAGTTCTTTCTGCCCTCAACCTTCCAGTAGAGCACAAGGGGCCATGATTGCTGGACTCTGGCCCCTGTGACTGGCTCAAAGGTACCTTTATCACACAAAAGCTATAGTATCCATAGATAGGTCACTAAAGGCATTTTAATCAGATCTGCCCCTACCCAGCCAAGGTGTAGTTTTATAGCATGATACCAAAGATTGCATTGTAATTACAATGTTTTTAAACAACATCTTCATTTATTTTTTTTTCATTTTAATTCAAGGTATTCATCAGCAGAAATAAGAAAGCAGTTTACACTCCCACCCAACCTTGGGCAGTACCATCGGCAGAGCATCAGTACATCTGGCTTCCCCTCCCTTCAGCTAGTAAGTATGTTATAGGTTTGCTTGACTTGTGGGTTAGGAGCAGAAGTGCCCTATATGTGAAACCCTCCCTGACTAGTTTTAGCTCGTCTCACACCTAGGGTTATTCCACCTATCACTTCATAAGTCTGCCTGCCTTTTAAAAAAATATATTTTATTTATTATTTCTATTTTTTGTGTATGAGTGTAGTGCCTGCATGTGTATAAGTGCACCTGTGTTATACAATGCTCAAGGAGGGCAGAAGAGGGCGTAGGATCCCCTGGAACTGGAGTTAAGAGCAGTTGTGAGCTACTATGTGGGAATCAAATCCAGATCCTCTGTAAGAGCAGCCAGTGCGCTTAACTGCTGAGCCATCTCTCCAGTCCCAAGTCTGTCTGCCTTTAGACAACAATCACACATCTCCCTCTTTCTCTGCCAACCAGCGCTTGAGTGCAAACAAGACCACCCAGGACTGTGGTTCTGCTGGGTACAGCTTCTAGGCTACTCAAACCCACCCCAATTATAGTTCATGTTTGGGGAGAGGAAATAGCCTAGAATTAACCACTATTTGTAGCATGCTTTTGTGGGAAATTTTTATTCACACACTTCCAAAGCCTAAGATATAAATCTTCCTTATAAAGTAATTTTCTTAGAAGTATAATTTACATGCAATGAAATTTATTCATTTTAGGCTCACAATTCGATGAATTTGGGTAATTCAGTGTCATTTAACCTTTACTCAACCAGGGTATAGTATATTTCCCCTCCTACCCTGTTGTAGACCATCTTCTGAATCAACTCCCATCCCCTAGACCCTAACCCAGGCAACCACCGCTGCTGTGGCTGAGTTTTTTCCTACCTGGAACATCAGACCAGTGGAATCACATAATAATATAAACCTTTAGTTTTAAATTAGCCAACTTTTATATTAGCCAACTTTTGAGTGCATATGTTTATGATATTATTTAAGGACTGAAGGCCAGATGTGTACCAGGTGAGGCAAATCTGACTTCAGTGAGATGGTTGGTAACAAGAAGCGGGTGCTCACTTCCTTTATGTGAGCAAGAGCCCTCCCTACATTCACTTCCTCACACACAGCATAGCCGCACTTTCTGACTGATTCTAGTGGTTATCTTGAGGAGGTTAGGTTATTTTTTGTTTCTAGTTATTACTTCAAAACCACTTCTGCTCTTAGAAATTTTGTAACCTTCCCCTGTTTCCTGTAGCCGCCATTTTGTCTCCTGTAACAGTTTACCCGCCGTATCCTCAGGTATGTTTTACCAGACTGATTTGCGGTTATTCAGAAGGATAATTTGTGTGTTGTGTCTTTAATGAAATGGTTGTACTTGAAAATATATAGCACCTTTCACTGTGAGAGAGTAACTTCTGGTGACATCTCTTCAAACTCTATTTATGACTTGGGAGCCTAGCGAGGCCACCTTTTAGATTTGTCCTTTCCTGTCTGCTTCAGAACCACAGATACGATAAAAGCACAGCAAACAGACCATGTTTGTCTTCTCAGACCTAGTAACTGAACTTTAAGCCAAGATATGTTAGATGTGCTTCTTGGTTTAATTGGGTGATTTCTGATTCAGGTTGTATTTCAAAATGTCCAGAATTCCTGCAGAAAAGTGATTGGATATACTTTAAATTTTAAACGAATTTGAGGAGCTTCAGTGCTTGACTTTTTGAAAGAAAAATTAAGACTAGAGTTTTCTGTAGCAACTGCTGGGGAACTAGTGTGGACCTCACAAAAGAGATTTTTAAGGAAGTTGAGCTTGCAGACTTTAACCCTTTGTCTCCTCACTAGCTTTTACTTTAATGCTGCAACTTTATGTTTTAACAGGTGAAATCCTTTTTAAATGTAAATTTACAAAGAAAAAAAAAAACCTCATGTCATATTTGCAAGTCTTCTTTCAGTAGTTCACTGTCTCCTGAAGAGGTCTGACAAAAGCAAATTTTGATTAATTACTTCAGTAGCTGGAAAGTCAGGTTAACATGTGGCTTAGCTGCCCATTATCTAAAGAAGTAGCTGAAGTAAGCAAAAAGGCTAAAATTCTGCAAGAATTGGATGTCTCCAGTTGTCATCATTTAATTCTGGTCCTGTTTGTATATAAATATTCTGTAAATTTTGTTATTCCTGGTTTTCCCAATTTCGTTTTCTTAACCTCCCTGCCCCCTCATCTCTCCACTCCAGTTTTGACACAGTCTGTTACTTTGTTTCTTCTACCTGTGGAGTAGAGTCAAGACGCCTGAAGTCTACTTTCTAAAATCTAGTCCTTTGTTTAGGGAACCCCATCTCCCTCACATCACCTGCCGTCATGTGGCGATGTGGGAATGTGCAGCTGTGCTTCCCCTGAAATCATCTTCTCGAACAAGGATCCCCAAAAGAAATCACCAGTGTACATGACGATTTCCTTTTACCTTAAAAATGCTTCTTTTCGTAGATAAATAATGGAAAACTTCGGCAAAAGTTGCTTCTAGAAAGACAGAAGAGTGTAAAGACTCTTGACAGAGCTTTAGAGAAAGTTCTTCCATGAGAAGCTGTAGGGCAGACTGGTATTTGCATTATTTAATTAAAAAGGACAAATGCATTTTGATCATTCTTTTACCTTAATTTATATAATCACCACAGTTATCCTCACATTTTGATATAAAGCAGTTGTTTAATTTTAAAAGTATTTATTTGAAATTAAGTTATTTAAACCAATCATTTTGAGTTCATTGTGGCCGTCATCACTGTTTGCAAGAGTAAAGAGTTTGGATTCAGAGCAACCTGGGTGAGGCTGGATTGCCACTGGTTGGTTGTATAACTTGGGACAAGTCAACCTTTCTGAAGACTTCAGCTTCCTCTTCTGCAAAATTAGCAACTAATGTCCCTGTTAGGATGAACAAAGAGTGACATGGCAGAGCCTGTGTGATATTACTTCCACAGGTACTTGGCACTATGAAGACTCTGAAGAAGATTAAAAGATAAGTAGGAGGAGATGACTCCAGCTCTGAAGGGCACTGTCACCTATTTAGGAAGACAAGTACACAGGACCCAGACTGGCTTCAAATGTGATGGGCATTCAGAAGATAGGTTCATGGTGTAATAGGAGGCAGAGGCTTGCTGCAGGATCTGAGAAGACCGAGGGGAAGGGTCCTCAGCCTCAGAAGTCCGTTAGAAACACCCAGCTTCTAATCAGATCTCTTATCAGGCCCAGTACAGATGGATTAAATCAGAATTCCAGATGGTGGGAACCATACATTAGTTGGGGGATGTTAACAGGTCCCCAAAGACTCAAGCTGAGAGTCATTTAAAGATTCTCAGGGAGGAGGAAATATTCCACATAGGGGAAAGTATATACACAGAGAGCTTCTTTTGTTGCTTTGCATGCTCTGAGTTGCAGAGTGTGTGGTAAGGACCACATGCTAACCCTGTAGATAGATCCTCATACAGTGCAACTCTCTGTCCTATGTCTAATGAGAAGGAGGCTGTGCATTTGAAATTTTCTTTTTTGTTTTATTCAGTTTTTGCTGTAAATGCCAACTGAAATGATGTGTATATATATATATACACACATATACATATATGTATATATAAATTTTTTCCAAAATAGATAAGCTACCTTTAAAAAATTATATTAATTGTGTACATGCACACATGCATGTGTGTGCATGTGCCACAGCATGCAAGTGAAGGTCAGAGGACAGCTTCCACCATGACTAAACTCAGGTCATCAGACTTGGTGGCAAGTACCATCACCCACTGAGCCATCTCACCAGCCCTATAAACTACTTTTAAAATTTGCATGTTTTAATATGAAGGAAATTCATGATTTGGAGTGACTTTTCTAGACATAATGATGGACTGGGCCTATCGGACACCCCTACCTTTGTGACCAGAGCCAAAGAGAGACAGGGCTCTGGCTGAGATGATGCCGACCACTGTTGGCATTCTCTGCTGCCACTGTCATGGGAGCAGATTGACAAAAGGCCCTCTGGTGTTAACAAGTCTCTGATGCTACTGTTAAAACTAAACCATAAAACGTGAAACTGTTTTCTGGTTATTGAAAATAGAAAGGAAGGTACAAAGAAAGGACTGGGATCTGTGCCCTGGGGTAGTAAGGACTGAAGACACTGTGTAATGGTCAGTTACCTTAAACTATATTTTATGGAGGAAAACATACTATTAAAAAAAAAGAAGAAGAATAGGAAAGAAATGGAAGGAATCAACCAGAGCATACCGGCTCTGGATGAAGAAAAGGATATAAAAGCCACATCCTGAGTATGCACTGAGCACCATGGTTACAGGGCATGTTTGTGTATCTAGCATTTATGTTTTAAAGAAGTCTCATACCTTAGGAGCATTCATTTTTGTTACACGCGTAGGCTTTCATGAAACGCAACAACCTTTTTTCCTTTCCAGCTAAGGATGACTGAAGTGGTGAATTGCTTGTTAAACACGATCCTCTTATCCTTCTGATCCTGTTGGTCTTTTGTACTTCATTTTCCATGGAGTTGGCTCTTCTGTTTTGCTGATTGCACTGGAGGGACTTGATGGGAAATGAAGGTCTTAGTGCAGTTTTCATGCATATTCACAATAGAAGATAAAATGGAAAGTGTGACAGGCATTCTGCACACAGAGCAGGCACTTCAGCATGATCCCTGTAAAGGGGATCAAATCAGTGTTGGAGGGTGGGGAAGACGACTTCAGATTGAACCTGAGTTTGACCCCTGCCACCTGCATAAAAAGACAGGTGTGGTGGCACCCACTTGTAATCCCAGCACTGGGGAAGTGGAGACAGGTGAATTTCCCACCACACTGGCCAGCCAGTCAGCCTGGCCTAGTCCCAGATCCCAGTGAGAGACTGTCTCAAAAAATAGGATAAATGCTACCTGAGTAACAAGATCTGAAGTTGACCACTAGCCTACATACACTCACATACATGTGCACCTACACACACACACACACACGCACCAGACTTGGTTAAAAGGAAAAAAACAGGTTGATGGCCATGTTGTCACTGTCAGAATCTATAGCGGCATTGGTGGAAGATTGCCATTGGTGGACGCAGGAAAACACACTTCTTTTAGGTCAGGAAGTACTTTGAAGCACTTAAAACCAGAGGAACCTTACTGCCTTAGGCTTTGTTTACTGAAAGGCAGTAGAGCTGAGACTGTCTTATTCATTCACTCAGGAAACATTTATTGGGTCTAACTGTATGCCAGGAACTGCTTGAAGAGCTGTGGATGCAATAATGAATGCAAAAACGGACTTGTCTTTTGTCTGTATGAAGCTTACATTTCAGAATGGGAGCAGGTGTAGACAAATATGTGAATGTAGACTGTGGTAGGGGCAGGAAGAGCTAAGAAGAATGAAACAGGGACAGGCAATAGTGACACAGAAGAGATGCTGTTTTAGATGTGGTGGTCTATGAGGGCCTCCATCTAGAATGGAGATACCCAAGCAGCATTCTGCATGAACTTGGCAGATCATCAAAGGAAGGTATTCCAGGCAGAAGAAAGAACAAGTGCAAAGCCTGCAAGGCAGGAGTAGGTGGCATGCCCCAGAAACAGCCAGGAAGCAGGAGTAGCCTGAGCAGAGGGGGCAGCAGGGAGACTGTTGCTAGAGCAGCATCGCCTGGTCAGGTCTCAGAAACCACAGAGTATCATTTCAAACCCAGATGCAGAGAGGAGAGTCCTGGAAGCACTGGGCAAAGGCCCAGTACCATCTGGCTTTTTAGAGGCATCATTCTTAGAGTTTTTACAAGGCTGCTATGTGGAGAATAGACTGGTGAGGAGAGAGTAGGTCAGAAGATGTTGCTATAAGCTAGAAAAAGCACTGATGCTGTGGGATAGGATAAGGACAGCAGAGAGGTGAAAAGCAGAAAGGATTTCCTGGTGGCTTGATGATAGGAGAGCCTCCCCTTCTCTAAGTCAGGCCCATCCAGACCAACCTCTTTTCTTAACCTAAAATCATCTGATTAGGAACTTGAGTTGCATCAGCAGTATCCCTTCTCAGCAGCAACTATATCCATGGACCGCTGCAAGAGGTGTGTGCATGCAGAGTGACTGCAGTGTCCCTTCTGCCCTCCACTTCTTGCAAGAGAAAACTCCAAAATCCCACCCTATCTATAAACACTGGAAAGGAATTCAAGGGAATCTGTTCTACCTAGGGAGGTCAATACATCAGAAAGCCCCTCACAGAGACAGAGCCTGGTTTAAGATCATTGTCCATCTTATCATTTTCATTTGTTTGTTTCATTTAGAAAGGGCTTTCTTGCATTATTATGCAAAATGATATACACAGAGCAATAATTCATGGTATAAAGGTAATCTTGAAATTACTTTAGATCATAATATTTAAAGTAGCCTTTGTTCTCCACTGACTTAAAAAAACACATGGTTCAATAGAAAAGAAAGCGGTTAAATTGTATGCTTGGCTTTTAGACTTTCTAGGTTCCAAGTCTTTCCCTGAGCTCTCTAAGAACAGTCCCTACTGCTGCCCCACCTCATGCTCAAGCTCCATCCCCATGCACTGCAATGTCTCTGTGACCCTTCAGGACTGGACAGATGTGTGTGTTCATATGCATTCCTATATTCATGTTTGTGCAGTGATTGCCTCATGATAAAACCTGCTCATACGATTAAGACTTTAGTCTAGAGAGAAGTTATTCCTGGTTATTATTTGAATTTGCAAGAAAAAAATTGCTTGATTGTCTAGCTAGTTAAGAGTACTTAGGGTCTCCACCCAATTATCAATGGCAAGGCTAGTTTACATCAGATTGGAATGGGCAGATTCTCTTTGTCAGTTTCATTATAGAAGTAGGAGAGGAAAATTACTAAGTGCCAGTTTGTGCATACTACTAGCATACTCAGTAAAAACTTGTGTATTTGTATTTGAGAAGGTTGGATATCATCATCCCATGACTGGTTAGAGTACAGCCCACGGAGTACCTTCCTGTACTTTTCTGTATGCTAACACCACACTCAGTAGCTACTTGGCTAGTAATTGCTGGATGATGGGGCCAGCCATCATTTATCCCTGGTCTTTGGAGGATCTGTCCTGTAACAGGTGCTGCTGTCAGCTTGACCTTTCACCTTTTGTAGCTTTGAGTTTCAGGCACATGGTGTTTTGCTTTAGCTGGAACTGGACCCTTTTCTCTCTGACAATTGCACATACATTTTTCCATGAGGCTCTGTTTTGAGTGCTCAGTCAGTGCTTGGGCACTAAGCATACCTGCACCTCACAGTAACTTCTAAGTATATTTCCATCACCTCTGCTTGAGTTCTTCATAATACATTTATGCCTACTATTTCATTTATTTATTGTTATCTTCTTGAGTAGCTAATCCCAGAAGTTCAGAGTAGAATTTGTTGAGTAGTGGTAACTGCGTTTTTTAGTTATTTTGAAAGACATTTAACTATTGCCCTGTATTTTAACTATCTTAGGAAATGTAAATACTCTAGAAGATCTATAAGAGGAAACAATCAAAATTACAATGGTTACATGCCTAATTTGAATTTTAGATGGGCTGCTTCCTAGCCATGTAATCAATAACAAATTATTAAATCTCTGGCCCTCAATTTCATCTGAAAATGAGGATTATTAGAATGCATATTTCACTGGGTTCTAGTGAGGATTAAATGAGATTACATATATAATGTATTGATAAGCAAAGTAAGTGCTCAATCATTGTTCGTTCATTGAGTATGCAGTTTAGTGCTAAGTTTGGGGGTGCAAAAATGCAGTTTTCATGATTTCCCATGGACAGTCTTTCAATGGCTACTTTGAACTCTTCCATGTGGCAATCAAGTAGGGCTGTTGGCATGGATCTTGCACAGGTGTCTTTGCAGGTTTATTTGTCCTAGCCATAGATGATGCCCATCTTTTCTTCGGGTTTCACCAATGTCCTTTTGCCAGACCCCATCTGTGCTTGGCTGCTTTGGCCCTGAAAACCCTGGCATGTCATTTGTAGAGGCCTCCAAAGCTAGGACTGTGGTCCCTTCCTCAGCTGTCTTCAGGTCTCAATCAGAAACAAGGGAGACTTCCCTGCCCTCTCATGCCACATGATGAACATTGCTCCCACCCACTGAGGTTTGCCAATCCTGTCAGCCACTGCTCTGCCCCCATCCTGCCTCTGCCCTGCTGGCTGAATGTGCTGTGTAAGTCAAGAATCTAGGCTGGAAGTAGGGGCTTCATTCTCTCTCCCCAGTGTAAGTCATTTGTATGTCCAGCACCACCTGGTCAGCAAGGGAGGGGGAGCAGGGCAAGACACATTTATGTTCTGGAATCTTTTTACCTCTTCAACAGCACTTTGGTCCTCTCCCTTGAAGCTCTTACTGGTATGTGGATTCATGGGGATGAAAAACCGGTTTTGTCAGCCCTTCCTTCAGGTCTGCTCTCTCACAGAACCTCAGTCAAGTTAGGAATCTGGGGACATTGTTTTATTGGTGCTTTGGGAGTGGAGACCAGTGTTCCCTGGAGCTGGTGGCACCTCACAGTCTGCCAACCCTGAACACTCAGGGGAGCTGCAGTTGTTGCTCTTATCACTGTTGCCATTACTGCACAGTCCACTAGCTCTAAGTGGTTCTCTTACTGCCTTGAGGCAGTGGTTCCTGAGTCTTCAGATGTCACAGGCAAGAAAACATATTTGGTTGTACTGGAGACTGACAAAGTGTTGCCAGGTCTTGATTTTATCAGCTGAAGAACAATATTGTTTCAATTACCCTGGGTTTCTCTAATTTCTTTTATTCCCTCTCTCTTCCTATGTGGAAGGATAAGAGGAACACAGAACAGCGCTAGGAAAGTGAGCAAATTCAGCCATCCATCCAACCACTTAGCAGATTCCTGGGTTTACTTACCTCGCTCGGGTCCAATGAGTTTCTTCCCACCCAGTAGTATTTGGAAGTTCCAGCCCTGGAGGGGTTCAGCCACCAAGCCTGGCCTGCTGTCAGCTGGGGTTGTCTGAAGTGCTGGCCTTGAGCAGCGATGTATAGCTATCCCAGGCCAAGGGAAACACTGTGCCTGAGCACTCAGCCAAAGGAATGCCAGGTTTGCCTGAGTTTCTGGAAAATTGCCTTCTTTCCCCATTTTGCTATGTTTGGGTAAACAAAGCATGGCCTCAGAGAACTTTTGCAGGAGAAATTATAAAAATTCCGCAAAGCCTTGTGATCTCATTTTGGATCTCCTCAGGATTCCTCATCAAGCTGCAATTAAGCAGAGAAAAATTCTGCCTTGGGGTGTGATCTTAATTACTCATCATGTTACGACTTGACTTTCCGCTGCTGCATTTCTTTTCCTCTCCTGATCACTGCTGCATCTTGACAGCTCCTCCAGTCGCTTCGGTTAGGCTAAGAGTGAAGCCTTGAGTTGAAGGGGTGGGCAGGACAGACATCTACCCTGTCTGTGTGCCCTACCAGGAAGCATTGTGGGAACTGCCTTCTTCTCTCCCTTCCCCTGCAGCCTCAGCTTTATGACCCCGTGGAGCCGGTGGACTTCGAAGGACTTCTGATGACACACTTAAGCAGCTTGGATCTGGAGCTGGTCCAGGAGCTGGGAGACCTCAAGGATGACGACTTGGATGTGGCGTTCACACCCAAGGAATGTAGGACTTTGCAGCCCTCTCTGCCAGAGGAAGGGTAAATCATTTTCTTAAAATGTAAGAGGTAAAGGGTGCTGATTCTGAGCCATTTTCCTTTATTTTATTTATTTGTTGAGACAGGGTCCTTGCTGTGTAGCCTAGGCTAGCCTCAAAGTCACAGTCCTGCTCCTGCCTCCCAAGTGCTAGGATCACAGGTATGTACCACCACCATTGCCAACTTTGAAGTACTTTTGAAAGGAAGCAAAATTTGGGTTGGGGATATTGTTCAGTGATAGAATGCTTGCCTAGCATGTGCAAGGGCCTGAATTTGATCCCAGCACCACAAAAATTAGTTATTTTTTAAACTAAACAATATGTATTTTTATTTAATAACCACATGATTAGAAGAAGCATTTCATTACAGCTTTAACATATTCAGTGACACATTCCAGAGCAACAATACATCTCTTTCAAAAGTGGCTGTAAAATTTTACGTTCACAGTTGAATTAATACAGTTATACAGTATTAAACTCAGTATAAACCTTGTTAAGACATAAAATTGAATGAGCTTTTACCCTTTAAAGAAGATCTCCATTTCATTTAAAAATATGCTGTTCCCTACATTTTTAATGAGACTAACACGTTTGCGCATGTGTCTTTAATCTCTATGTATCTGATTATTACTAGTTAGAGTTGGTTACACTCGGATCCTTACTACCCGAGTATGGATATAAAGTCATCAGGTAGATTTCACTGGTAATGTTTATCACCTCTACTATTTAAGGAGGCCATGGAGACCCCACCAGATCGACCTGAACCAGTGTCCAGTATATTTTTTTTAATTTGTTGATTTTTTGGTGTGTATATCATATAGAACATCCCACACAATCTTATTCATCTATATACCCACTTCCCAAATGGCACCCTCCCATTAGAGCCAGAGAAGATGACTCAGTTGATATATGCTTTGCTTTACAAGCATGAGGACTTGAGGTCAGATCTCCAGCGTCCACGTAAAAATCTGGACATGGTAGCGTGCACCTGTCATTCTAGCACTGGAGAGGTAGAGACAGGAGGATCCCTGGGTCTGGTTGGCTATCCAGTCTAGCTAATTCATGAACTCCAGGTTTACTTAGAGACTCTGTCTCAAAAAAATAGAGAACAATTGAAGAAGGCACCAAATGTCCAACACACACACACACACACACACACACACACACACACACATTCATTTTAAAAGAAGCAAAAGTATTCAATCCATTCAGATATACAGGGCATATGGTGCTGCTACCTAGATGTAGACAGATTTTGTTTGTGTGTTGTGTAGTACTGAAGACTGAGGACCCAGCTACAGGGCCTCACATATTATAGGCAGATTCTAAATTGTTTTGGACAAAGGCAAGCCCTGTGGGGACTAAGCCAGTTCAACAGATGCAGAGGTACAAGATGGAATGGTCCAAAAGAAGTTAATATTGCAGGCTCTGTAGTTGGACTACTGAGTGCCAGGTTAGTGCCTCTAAGATAGTCACATGATCTTATCAAGCCTTGTTATCTCTATTTGCAGAGCATCTAGGATCTTCATAACAACTGTTAAAGTATTCTATCAAAACCTTTTATAGGTCAGAAAGATGACTCAGCAGGTAAAAGTACTTACCACCAAACCCCACAGCCTAAGCTCAATTACCAGAACCTTCATGGCAGAAGGAGAGAATCAACTCCCACAAGTTGTCTTCTGACTACTCCATGCACACAGTATCATGCATTACACACACACACACACACACACACACACACACACACACACACACACACACTGAATAAATGTAAAAAAATATTAGTCATTTTATTTGTTACCACAGAAGAGCATGGATCTAGCCCAGTGTGGTGGTACATACCTTTAATCCCAGCAGAATCAAGCCATCTTTGTGCTATCAAGGTCAACTTAGTCTACATAGTGAGTCCCAGGCTAGCTGGGTCTACAGGGAGACCTTGTCTGATACAGATGAGTGAGAAGAACCCCCTCACCCTCTCTCTCCTTCATCTCCCCACCTCCCCAACCCCTCATCCCCTCACCCCTCACCTCCTCACTCCCACCCTTGCAGACAGTTCCATAAAGGGGAGAAACAATGCAGCTCATGCTGTAAAGTGTGTGAATAACTATTTAGAGTAGACTTGATGAGCATGGCCTGGGCATTAGTTCTTGGTGGCAGACACCCCTGGGATCACACCTCAGTGAAACCTCTGCTGCTGGACAGTGAAAATTTCTGTCACTTTGGAGATTTTGAGTGAACTTCTATTTTTATTCATTTTAAAAGCAAATTAAGATTTTCAGCCTCTTGGACCCTTTGAGTCTCATTCTCCCCCAAAAAGTCCCAGAAAGGAGATCATGAAACCAACCCCTGCCTTCCTTTCCCCTAGCTATTCCAGGTCTGTTTTGGATTGTGTTTTATCACAGTTGAAGGTGGTTGGTTGCATGACTGTAATGTGTAAGTCCCTCCTTTCTCTTCCTCACATAGCACTCATTCACATAGAAGAGCTGGCCATGTGTGCATCTCTAATATTTTCCCAAAAAACATCATTGTCAGCATCAGGAAACCTTTTTCTTTGGTGTCAGCTATTTATTCAGGTGTAATTTTTGATGTAGATAACACATTTCTATCTTTGGTAGAGAATCATTTTATTTGTGTAAATGTTATGGTTAATTATCTTTAAATGTGGCCAGAATTTTGGAAGAACGTGTATAAAATTCTTAAACTAAGTTTAGAGGGAGAATTTTTTAAAATATTGTATTTATTATTCTTATTTTATTAGTGTACTGCCTGCATGTATGTAAGTGCACCCATGATGTGCAATGCCCATGGAGGTCAGAAGAGGGTGTCAGATACCCTGGAACTGGAGTTATGGATGGTTGTTAGCCGCCATGTAGGTGCTGGGAATCAAACCTAGGTTCTCTGCAAGAGCAGGCAGTATTCTTAACAACTGAGCCATCTCTCCAGTCTCTTAGAGGAAGAATTTTTTTTTAACTTTGATAAAGAAGGCAATTTTTCCTACCATCATCTTCTGACTATGAGATTATCTTGCTACTGTAATTTATAGTGAACATGTCTGATGACTTTAAAACAGCTCATATTATTTCAGTTGTTGCCAAAGTCTTCTGTATAAGCAAAATGGGAAGACTTTCTAGTCACCAGGAGAGTAAGCAGTAGTTAATTCTGTTCCTCACACAGAACCTATGTTGAGCTGTGATCACATGGTGGTCATGAACCTGGGCTTTACAGGTGCCCACTCTGCCACTTGCTCTGTGACCTAGATTAAGATCATTATCATCACCAGATGTAGTGACTCATGTCTCTAATCCCAGCACCTGGGAGGCAGAAGCAGTCAGATCTCTGTGAGTTCAAGGCCAGCCTGGTCTACATAGCTAGTTCCAGGCCAGTCAAGACTACATAGTGAGACCCTGTTTCAAAAGCAAAACAAAACAAACAAACAAAAAGATCTTTATCTTTATGGCCTCGTTCTCCTGCAAAATAAGAATAATAGCACTAGGCCGGGCGTGGTGGCGCACACTTTTAATCCCAGCACTCAGGAGGCAGAGGCAGGCGGATCTCTGTGAGTTCGAGGCCAGCCTGGTCTACATAGTGAGTTCCAGGACAGCTGGGGCTACAGGGAGACCCTGTCTCAAAAAGACAAAATAATAATAATAATAGCACTACCCCTGCACCGTGGGGCTGATTTGCAGTTAACTGAATCAATACATGTTAAGTCAGTGCCTAGTGCATAGTAAATGGTCATAAGGTGTGAACTATCATAGAGTTCTTATTATGTACAGACATTCTTCCAAGCATTCTACACACTAACATTACTCTTCATCACAGTTCTTTAAAGGTGATACTCTTTAATAGCACCACTTACAGATGAGGAAGTTGAATAAAAGGTTTGAATGACTAGTTTAAAGTCACAAAGTTAATGAGGGATGAAGGTGGAATTTGGGCAGTCAGGACCAAGATATCATATGTCTTAGACTGATAGCAAGTTCACAGGTGAGTTCCTTCATACCCCTTTGCTAGCTAGCTTCCCTTGACTGTAAAAAAAAAAAAAAAAAAAAAAAAAAATACCTGTGATAAATCAACTAAAAAGAGAAAGTTTATTTTGGAGACTTTAGCCATGGCTAATTGCCTCATTGCTTTGGCCCTGTGGTAGCACAGAGTATTACCATGAGAGCTGATGGCAAAGGAGGATCATTCACTTTATGGTCAGGTACAAAGGACAGAGAGGGAGAGAGCAGTGTCCTACAATCCCCTTCAAGTGCAAGCCTCCAATAATAAGGCTTCCCATAGACCCCACATCCTGAAGGTTTTACCACCTCTCAGTTGTGTCACTTAGTCAAGGACTTAGACTTTAACACATGGGCCCTTGGAGGACATCCAGGATCCAAATGTAGCATCCCCTTTTTGCAAATGCAGAAATTAAGACTTGTAGCACTTAGACTTTTGCCTCTGGTTCCAGTATGTTTGTAACAACCCAAAAGCCTTGCTGCTGTTGTCATTTCTGATTCAAGACTGTAAAGCACACGAAGACTACTTCAAATGACTCAGTTATCAGCAGTATGACAAGAACCCAAAGCCAGTGTCTTCAAAATCTTAGAGCAGAGTCTAAGACAGCTGCTTGTGGCTTTCTGAAAGGAAGACACACATGTCCTAACAAAATCACACGTGAGCAAAAATTACCTGTGAGAAATAAGTATTTAGACTTCGTGTTTGATTACAGCTATTTCTCCCCACCTTGTATCTTAATGCCTTCAGGCATAGATGTAGTTTAACAGTTCTCTATAATACAGAAAACTCATAAAGTATAAAATGCCAACGTTTATCTCATCAAAGGAAAAACATGATTTCCTTGGGAATACTCAGACATTTGAAATGCATGGCTGAGAACACCCCTAGCATGCTTATTGATGTAGATTTGAAATCGTGTTATGCCCCTTGGTTATTTTATTGCTTTTCCACTGTAATAACCTGTTTTTAATCTCATTTTCTACCCAATTAGAGTCGAACTAGACCCTCATGTCAGGGACTGTGTTCAGACCTATATTCGAGAGTGGCTGATTGTGAACCGCAAGTAAGTTACCCCCTTCTTAATGGATAAATGTTAATCTGTGTATATGTTAATTTTATAGTTAGTCCTTTCTTATTTTTCAAATCAAATGACTTTTTGAGCAGTTTTAACAGGAAAACTAAACAGAAAGCCCTGAGATTCCACATTTATTCTCCTTGCCAACCCCCACACCTCCACTGCCCATACAGTTGTCCCTGATAGTCACATTCTGCATTCCTGTTGCATATGTTGTAACTGATAAACCAGTGCTGATCAGCTATTAAGCCCACAGTTTATGTCAGCTCCTCAGCCATGCTAGGCGCACAGAGGGCTGCATCCTCAGCCCTGGTGTTCATCTTTCTGATTTGTGTATTCGATGGGTTTTGACAACACACAATGGCGTGCTTCTCCCCGTGCAGTGTCGTCTGACCATCACTGATCTTCAGCTCCCCTTGTCTTTTTGAGGTCTTGTCGCTTACTTCCTGGTCTCACTGATGAATCTTTCATTTGTACATATGCACTATGGTCCATTTATTCATTCATTTAGGAAAAAAGTTACATTCTAAACATGAGCAGAGCCTTTCAGCAGGCAAGGTCCAGCGTACATGCAGTCACATCTACTCAGGAGGCTGAGGCAGAAGAGGCCTTTGAGCCCAGAACTTCAAAACCAGCCTGGACAGCATGAAGACCCTGTCTCACAACAACAATAATAATAATAATAATAAGTCCATTTATTCATTCATTTAGGAAAAAAGTTACATTCTAAACATGAGCAGAGCCTTTCAGCAGGCAAGGTCCAGCGTACATGCAGTCACATCTACTCAGGAGGCTGAGGCAGAAGAGGCCTTTGAGCCCAGAACTTCAAAACCAGCCTGGACAGCATGAAGACCCTGTCTCACAACAACAATAATAATAATAATAATAATAATAATATTGGTGAACTCCTAGAGGGAAAAAATTAAATGAATTGAAACTTGGCCTCAGAGCCAAAGGTGTCAATAGAATTTGTGACACGGAAATAAATTACTTAGTAGTCTTTCCATCAAAAGGGCCTTTTCCCCTGGCTTAATCAGACCTTTTTTGTTATTTATTCTGGGTTTTCTTCCTCCATGCCACTGACATGCACAGCACTGTCTTATGAGAAACACTGAACACAGAAATTCTTGCTGTGTGCCTCTGTGTGCGTGCGTGCGTGCGTGCGTGCGTGTGTGTGTGTGTGTGTGTGTGTGTGTGTGTGTGTGTGTTGGGAAGTAGGATGGAGGTTGTTTACAGGTTGGGATCCACTCCACTAGACACAGATCAGAGAACCTTTGAAACACAAGCAGCTTGAAATTCGGTAGCCTCTTTTCTTCCGGGCTCTAGCGAGAATTACTGTTCTCTGGGATAAATGGTAAAAAACTCTAGGGATTGGGGTTTATCCAGCTCCTGGAAGTGTGCCAGAGAATTTGTGCTATGTTTTTTAGTAATGTCAGAATGCATACTATTTTGATAACTGGGGAAGAGACAGCATCACTTACAGAAAGTAATTAAGACAAAGTTAGATGCCAATCCATCCCCCATTCTAAACACAAGTAAGAAAATGAAGTTTGCCAGGTCGTCAAATAAGAAAGATTACTCCTTGCTATTAATAAATAAAAAATTTCTGTACAAGTTGTTCTCAAACTTCAAAATGTTATAATTAGAGGTGCTTTCAGGATATTAAAGTTCTAAAAAAAATCCAAAAAGGAACAATAAATAGAAAGGTCCATTTTACTAAATTTGTCTTTTAGATTCACTTTCTCTTTGAAACACTGTGCTTTTTCATTCCTCCTGGCAATACAGACTCTCAGAATGTTTTTTCTGTCTTCCACAAATTTAAATTCCTTTCCGTTTAAAAGGAAAAAAAAATGGACTGCTTTTAGAATATTTGTGGAAGAAATTTTAGAAATTATAGAGAAACAAAACTAAAATTAAACAATTTCTTTATATATAGCTAACCACACTTCACAGTGATGTATGGGCCTTGATCACATTTCTTTGTAGCGTATACTTGTATAAAAACCTGATCAGACTTTAATAGCATTTTGTAGCATGCATTTCCAATTTTCACAGTAAGTGATTATCTCCTTTTACTATTAAATATTCTTACTTGATACTGTCATTAATGGTTACATAATTTAGTTATACCACAATTCATTTAACCAATTTTAATATTTAGGTGACTTCTTGCTTTTCTTATTTATACTTACAGTGCAGCAATGTCCTTCTCATTAAAACCTTGTGCACATTTAATATTTCTCTCCTATTAGGAAAAAAAACATAATTTCTGTGTCTAAATTATATGCATAAATTCAAGAATAATAAATAATAGATCAAAGAGCATTAATAGTATATATGTTTATTATATATTGACTATTCATGAATAATGAGTATTGCCATTTTTAACATCTCTCATTTTGTAAAAGAATTGTCCTTTATTGACATTTTCTTTGATTATCTGATTGGCTAATTTTTTCAATGTATTTGTTATATGTCATTTGGTGCTCCACTTCTTAAGAAATTTGTGCAGCTCTTGTTAAGCTATTCAGTTTTGTAAAACTGTAGGCCAATTTTTTTCCTTCTCATATTTATGTATGTGTGTGTGCTGTGCATGCACGTGTATTCCTGTTCACAAAGTGTGTGCAGTTATGTATACACGTGTGTAGATGCATTTGGAGACCAAGATTGGTACTGGGAATCTTCCTTGACTACTCTTTCACCTCATGCTTTGAGGTGAAACCTAGAGTTTGCCAATATGGCTGGTCTTGCTAGCCAGCTTGCTCCAGGGATACCGTCTCCACATTCCAAGGCTGGAATTATAGGTGGTTGCATGCCCACTCAGTATTTAGGTGAGTTCTGAGGATCAGCAAGTGCCTTTATCAATGCATCGTTTCCCCAGCTGTACAGCACTTTTAATTATTAAATATATTAACCTGTTATCTATTCCATAAATTCCTTACCTAGTGTGTTTTTAAAGCTCTTTATAATAACATTTAGAAGGATTTTTGTAATTAAATCCATGTTGACATTTTCATAGGATTTTTACTTTGGGTCTTATGTTTAGAATTTAATTCACAAACAATGTTACTTTGTAGGACTTTTGGTTAAAATATGAGTTAGACCATTATCAATTTGATTGTTGTTTCTGTTCTCTCATGTGTTCCATTTCTTTTTCTTGTCTGTAGGAGCAGTGATTATCCATGCATTTATCTCTTTCAGTCGTTTTGTCTTTCTTTCATAACACAAAGCAATATGTGTGTATCTTTTTGTCCAGTACCCTGGGGATGGAATTACAACTGGCCCAGTTCTCTGTACACTCATGTCGTGGACCACTTCCCTTCCCAGAAACAAGCTAGTGGGTGAGGAGAAGCTCCAGCTCCAAAAAAACGCATTCGTAGTTCTGACAAGCTTTGACTAGTGTTTTGCAGCAGGGTACCTTTTTTCTACCCCTATATTTGATTCTCTGGTACTCTGGATCTGACACTTGGAGCATGAAAACTTTAACTCCCAGCACACACTCCTCACTCCTCCCAGGCTTTATTCTGTCTCTACGTACACCCATAATACTTTATTCGTGGGGAGAGTCCAAGACTTTATTGTCAGATACCCTTATCTCCCATATACATTTTTAGCACAGCTTTTTTCTTTCTTTAAATATTTGTATTTATTCTTTGACAATTTCATACATAAACCTGTATCAGGATCCACCCTCCACTCTTCTGGTCCCCTCCCTATGTGTCGCTTCCACCTTTATGTTCTTTTTTTTTTTTAGAACTAATCGTTTTTATTATTATTATTATTATTTTTTTATGTGTATGCTTGTATTGCTGGCTTGTGGGAAAGTGCACCCGTGTCATGCAATGCCCACAGAGGACAGAACAGGCTGTCGGATCCCATGGAACTGGAGTTACGGACAGTTGTTAGTTGTCATATGGGTGCTGGGATTTGAGGTCTTCTGCAAGAACAGCCAGTGTTCTTAAGTGCTGAGCCATCTCTCCAGCCCCTCTTTTTATTTTTTTTTAAAAAAAAGGTTTTATTTTATGTGTATGAATGTTTGCCTGAATGTATGTATGTGTACCATGTGCATGCCTCATGACTGTGGAGGTCAGAAGAAGGTGTCTAGTCCACCGGAGCAGAGTTACAGACAGTTGTGAGCCATAAGGCAGGTGCTGGGAACTGAACCTGGGTCCCTCTGCAATATCAGCAAATGCTCTTAACTGATGAGCCATCTCTCCAGGCCCCACCTTTTAAAAAACATAATCCATTGAGTCCAACTAATTCCACCAGCATGCACATGGGTGTGGGACCATCCACCAGAGAGCACAGGCAACTTACCAGCCTCCACACTCCCAAAGAAAAATGACTCCCTCTCCTCCAAGAGCCATCAACTGCCAAAAGGTCCTCAGTTAGGAGTGGGGCCTCATGAGCCCCTGCCTATCTATCTAGCATGGCTCTTTTCTAAGAGTTATTTCTGCATAGGTGTAGAATGATGGTAGAAAGAGAAGAGCAAGGAGAAGATGAGGTTCTATAAATCAATCAGGTAGAACCCATGATAAGCTGCAGTAAAGATTGGGAATTCAGGTTGCTGGCTAGTAGAGATTCTACTGTTCAGGTACAGGTAGAAAGGAAGGCATATAGCCTCTTCGTCTCTTTATTCACTGCGCTCCTCTTGGCAGAGACAAACTGTGGTACATCCTTCTGTTTTCAGCAACATCTGATCACAGTTCTCCCAGATCAGGCATTAAATTAACTACTAGTTTGGATGAGTTGCTTGATTTTTAGCATATTTAGAGGTGGTTTACTGGGAAGGAGGAGATGGCAATAGGGATTGTTGTTGTTCAGCTGCTAAGTAATGTTCAGCTGATTATCCTTGGAATTTGTCCCAATAATGCATGCTTCTGTTGAACGAAAGCAAGCAATATAGAAGTATACTAAAAAGCAAACTTCTTGCTTCATTACTCACCTGCTACCTGCTCTTCCCTTCTACTCTGCACTGCATGAAAGTC